AATCTGCGGCAACACCCTTGCCGGCGGCCCCTGGGAGCTCAACGGGAAAGTACTTGTTGGGGCCTGATTTCCTCAGTTTGTTCTGCTCCGTTGATGGTTCGACGGATGGTTGAGTTAACCAAAGCAAAAAGGTACATGGTTCCACAGGTAGCTTGAATGCAGCGTGTTTTGACAGGTAATCGGTGATGTCGTTCTCCGCCCGAGGAACGTGCTCCGCTTGTATATCGTCAAAGCGCTCCTCCAGCTTCCTCACCTCATCTACGTAGGCATCCATCAACGGGCTCTGATAATCTTTGTTGACTTGTCTGACGACAAGCTATGAATCACCCCTGACGATGAGCTTCTTGACCCCGAGGTCCGCCGCGATCCTGAGGCCGGCAAGCAACCCCTCATACTCAGCAGTGTTGTTGGTGGACATCTCCCTGGGAAAGTGCATCTGGATTACATACTTGAGGTGCTCTCCGGTGGGTGCGACGAGCAGCACACCAGCACCGGCGCCTTGCAGCGAGAAAGCCCCGTCAAAGTACATGATCCAGTTGTGACTTGCTTCCTTGCCGGGAAGGGTGGTCTCCTGGATTCCCTCGTCAGGCGTTGAGGTCAATTCTGCAATGAACTCTGCTAAGACTCTGCTCTAGATTGTCGAAGTACTTTCAAACTTCAAACCAAACCTCGAAAGCTCCAAGGCCCACTCCACAATCCTTCCGGTTGCATCTGGGTTGTGCAGTATCCGTTGTAATGGGAGGCGGGTGACGACGACGATTTCATGTGCTTGAAAGTAGTGACGCAGCTTCCTCGAGGCCATAAGAAGGCCGAAGAGCAATTTCTACACACCAGAGTACCTTGACCTAGACCCCTGTAGGAGGGAGCTGACAAATTAAACCGGGTGCTGCATCATCTTCTTCTTCTGCACCACCTCATTTGATTGCATGGGGCCTATCCTAATGGTGTCAAACTCCACCGGGGGCCTCGCCTTGCCGGCATCGGGCCCTGCTGGGGGAATCTCTGGCTTGCCATCTGCCAGTCCCACCGTCGCTATTGCCTCTTTACCGACCTCCCTCTGCACCACTAGCGCGGCACTGACCACTTGAGGTTTCCATTCTATCGAAGAAAGTAGGATGCATAGGTAGAAAACCACCTCAAAGTTTTCTTTCCAATCAATCTATTGAACCACCCCAAAGTGTAATGGATAGTCCTAGGGATCGTACTACGACAACACCATATGATACGTATTGCACAACCTTTATGCCTCGATTACCCCAATGTCGCCACGGGAATTCACAAGTTAATTGCTAGACATACATCATGTACCACTCCAAAGTTTCCATTCTATCGAAGAAAGTAGGATGCATAGGTAGAAAACCACCTCAAAGTTTTCTTTCCAATCAATCTATTGAACCACCCCAAAGTGTAATGGATAGTCCTAGGGATCGTACTACGACAACACCATATGATACGTATTGCACAACCTTTATGCCTCGATTACCCCAATGTCGCCACGGGAATTCGCAAGTTAATTGCTAGACATACATCATGTAATCTCCAATCCAAATTTTCAATCCAACATGAAGAAACTTCAAAGAGCAAGACTAAATTCATCACAAAAAAGGATAGAGGGATATGAACATCATAAGCTCCAATTTTATTAATAAAGCTCATGATATATCAAAATCGCAATCCATCAAGAACAGGGGGAGAGAGATCAAACACATAGCTACTGGTACAAACCCCTAGCCTCGAGGATGAACTACTCAGACATCACCATGGAAGCACTTAGCATGAATTGAAAGAAGACAAAAATATATGATAATCTCACATCAACGAGGCCTGATCATTAGGCAATGCAGAAGCCTTAGAATCAATGTCAATGTGAGGAGTAGTGATTATCATGCAACAGATGCACTAGAGCTATAAGTGTATGAAAGCTCTCCTAATGCGGCTAAATGGGCGTGCATCCAACTTGCTTGCTCATGAAGACCTCGAGCATTTGAGGAAGCTCGTCATCGGAATATATAAGTCAAGTTTTATAATGTAAAGATCCCACTAGCATAATCATGAAGTATATGAAAAGTCTCTATATGAAGTGCATGGTGGTACTTTGAAGCACAAGTGTGGAAAAAGGATAGTAGTGTGCCCCCTCTCTTTTTTTCTTCTAGGTTTTTCTTTTTTCTCTATTTTATTTGGTTGGCCTCATGGACCTCTTCCCCTCTTTTTCGAGGAATCATAGGTCTCCTCCAATTCATATCCTCACAGGTAGGGGCACACTCTAATAATGAGGATCATCACACTTTTATTTACTTCCAACTCAAAAACTGAAAATGATGGCTATAAACGAATGCCTCTAGCGGTGTACTAGGATGTGAAATGATCTAGCGTAACATGTATAACAGTGATGAACGGTGGTTTTGCCACAAATATCATGAGCTCTATGATCATGCAAGGAAAATAATAATGAATGCTCAAGTCATGTAATGAATAGTAACAATGGAAGTTGCATGGCAATATATCTCAGAATGGCTATGGAAATGCCATAATAGATAGGTATGGTGGATGTTTTGAAGAAGATATAATGAGGTTTATGTGTGAGAGAGTGTATCATGTCATGTGGTTTGGATGCATCGGTGAAGTACCCGCCAAGTCTCGAGGTGAGAGTGCACAATGCACAGTACCGAAGAGTCTAGCAAAATATGGATAGGTGGAAGTGCAAGAGGACCGCGAACTCACATTAGTTATAAAGAACTCAAATAGATATTGGAAAAATCTAGTAGCCCTCAAAGTAGGCATGACTCACATACCCCTAGGGGGAGGTTGGGAGGTGTTAACCATCGCGCACCCCTGACCTGAATACACATGAATGTCACTTCAAAGTATCTCATACTCAGACTCCCAAGCTAATACCAATGGTTATCACTTTCATGAATGAGATCTCAAATCTTAACACAAATATTCTTACTTAACTCTAACCGTTTACTTACACGGTCACATATTATTACCTCAATATTGCAAAACTATTGCACATAATTAAGTTTATCTAGTTCAATGATCTACAACTTGCATGCAAATTTTTATCTTACCACTCTACATACCCATTATTTTTGGACCAACACATAATTCATGCAAATTACCAATTACAATTCAGCTATCTAAAAAGATACAAGTGAAGCAAGAGAGTCCTAATCATTTTTATAAAAGCATATCACCGTGCTCTTACAAATATAAGTGAAGTACAAGACTAACTGCCTCAACTCCAATAGATATAAGTGAAGAACAAATGAGCATTCTATAAATATAAGATGAATGTGTGTCTCTCTTAATAGGTGTGTTCAGAAAAATATGATTGTAAAAACAAGCAAACAAAAACAATCAAAAACAAATGATGCTCCAAGTAAAACACATATCATGTGAAGAGTAAAAATATAGATCCAAGTGAGACATACCGATAGTTTTGAAGATGAAAGATGAGACGCCTTCTGGGACATCCCCAAGCTAGCTTGGCTGCTTGAGTCTTCCTTAGATATTGCCTTGGCGTGCCTTGGGTATCCCCAATCTTAGACTCTTGTCGGTTGCTGCTTCCCGTCCCACAGTCGTGGTTGGCCATGGTTGCGGTTGCGGAAGTGGAGGCGGCTAGGGTTTGAGTTGTGGAGGTGCACAGCGGGAAGAAGGGTGTGCGAGGGGAGGGGAAGGGACTCGGCTGGAGTGGGTGTACGCCAGTGTGCGACATGTGGCTATAAAGCCATTAATAGGCGGGTGACGGGTACACCGGCGACGTGACTTCCTGCATGGAATCCGCGCGGGCGATGCGTATTCCCTGTGTGAAAGGACTGACGTGACTATGATGTGACTACTCATGTATGTGGACACACACACACGGACGACTATGAGAGCGCCACATGGCATGGGGTGTCCCACACATCAGTAACAACGACGGCTAGCAATCAACTCCCTTGATCAACGACAAGCACCTGTTTGGGCATTGGTGAGGGTGGGCGGCATGATAAAGGGGAAAAGTGAGCAAAGTTAGTTTGCCCAAGCAAAACTGAGCACAACTTTGTAACCAGGCCACAAAAATAGAAAACTCTTTTATTAAATTATTCAACGGAGTACAAGAACATAAAAACATAGATCAACCCAAAGTCATTTTTCTGGCGATCTCTGTCACCATCCCTATAAGCTTGATGATGTGTCGTGACCTCGTATCAACCCACATCATCTAATCCAGTAGCCTCACCAAGCCGCCCCACACTGAGTCGAGAGCACCAACCGGTCTAGCATACCCTCACCTCTCTAGAATCCGTCGTCTTCATCTTCCGCTGTCCCAACTTCAAAAGAGATCAACGCATTGGTCTTGCCAAGCCCAACTGTCGTCGACGTCACCACGACACTAGACAACGCCATCATTCTGCGCGCGTCCATCATAGAATTTACCAATATGAAGAAAAAACATGAAAATATCAACACGACAAATGGCTACACGAATCATGGCGCCAACCGGTTACGTAAACAAAAAAAAAATGAAACTCCATGGGCACTAGCACCCACGGTTTTATTGATATAGAAGAAGCATCCCTCATGAGAATTCCAGAAATTCGTCCCCGACGTGGATCGAACTCTGGTCGTTAGGTTTACAATCATGCGCCCCCAACCGGTTACGTAAACAAGAAATAAATCCAGACCACACACGATACCATCGTGTGGACCGAATGCTCGCTCCAAATTACCCAGGTGCTCCGGCGCATGATCTAAAACTAGAACACTGTGCGCACTGGTGCCCGTTCTTGTAACCTTGAGAGACTCCTTTTTTCTCCTAACGCAATTACACGCAAAGCCTTTGCGTGGCCGCGGAAAAGAAATGGAGAAAATCATCGCCCCTCCCTCTCGTGCTCCTGCCCATATAAGTACCAGCATCCAAGGCCGCGATAGCAAAAGCCTTCCCACTCCCTTCCCTCCCATCCCAGACGCCACAGACCCGACGACGGCCGCCGGCCGGCAAGAAGGCGTCGTCCATGGGGCCCCAGCAGGACCGGTCGGCGTCCAAGGCGCTCGCCAACGGCACGGCGGTGGCGCCCGAGAGGAAGGACGGCAAGGTGGTGCACTACAAGGAGTGCCAGCGCAACCACGCCGCCGGCATCGGCGGCTACGCCGTGGACGGCTGCCGCGAGTTCATGGCGTCCGCCCCCGCGGGCGCCGAGGCGCTCCTCTGCGCGGCGTGCGGCTGCCACCGCAGCTTCCACAAGCGCGAGGTGGAGGCCGTCGAGTGCGACTGCTCCTCCGACACCTCCGGCCGGTGATCGCCGCCGCCCGTCGCCGCCCAAGCCCGCTGTTCTCTTGCTGGCTCGTCACGGGTAGACCGGCATCTATCGGCAGGTAACGCGTGGTGGACGTTGAGATGACTCCATTCGATCTCGATCCATCTATCAAATACATATATATGGCCCGGTTAATTTATCTTCTTCCTCCTCCTCCTCTTCCTCCTGGTATTGGGATTAATTTGGTGCTCGATTGCGTGTGATGTAATTAACATATCCGTACGTGTAGCATATGCGTGTTGATGAGAGTCCAAACTGGTGCGTGTGTGTGTAGATCGATCGGTGAGATGAACACCTTGTAATTTGTACAGATTTGTGTTTCTTGTTTGGAACCAGCAGTTAATAAGATATGCCTCTGAATTATGGATTGACATTATGAGTAGAGTAGAGTAGATGCCTTTGCTTCACTGAATGGAATTACACTTTGACTCATCGTGAGCTTTACTTCACCGAGTGCGCGCGGCTGTAAAATTATGTCATCCTGTCACTGGCTAGTAGCTAGCATGGGTCGTTTAGGTATTGTTTTCAATTAGCACGGCCGGAATATAGTAACCTAAATTCGAGCCGAAGAGAAGCCGGATCTCTTCGTGCGTGGTTCCTATCAGCCAGCTGAACTAGGCTGGGTTCCCATCATTCGGATCTCCGTGCCAGAAAAGTTTGAGAGCCAACCGCTACCCATTTGTTGGCATGCATGTTGCAGTTCAAAACAGTGCTCAAATTAAGGTTAATGATGCTGTCAGTGACTGTAATAATTTCTTAACCTCTGCATCAAAGTCAAGGAGCAAGCGTTCTTTTGCTTTCAATCAAGGATATTTTTTGGTGAGAGCTTGAAGGGTTATCTTAGCTATCAAAACCAGATCAAGCGTACGTAGTGTCGCTGTACAATTAAATCTCACTGCGCTGTCACTTTACTAATATCGCTCGCTCGCACCAGCTCTTGTCAAGCGTGGAGACTGGCCGTCACTATCACAGTGCCATATCTATTGCTGCCGCCAACTGCCAACAGTGCCGTAGCCACCATGTTCTTGTGATATTCCTGAACCTACTTTTCCAACGACTTTCAGGGCTAACCAACTAATCCCAGCCACTGGAAAACCCAGCAGGGCACGTGATTTCCCAACCAACGCGGATGGAAAACGTGACTCCGTATACCCAATCTAAAGCGCAGGCAGGTCATCGCGAGAGATATCCCGTTCCTTTTTTACAAGGAGAGCGAGGAGTCCCATCTTGAAAAAGTTGTACTACAACCTCCGTCCGGAATTAACCGTCGTTGAAATGAGTGTATCTAAACGTGTTTCAGTGTTCAGGTATACTTCATTTCAACGATGGTAAATTCCGAACGGATGAAGTACTTGTTAGAGAACAAAGAGTTTAATGGTTGGATCCATGGAATGGTCTCTGGAGACCGATGTCGTGGCTGATGGAGAAGCTGACGACTGTCACAAAACCAATGGTGTTCCGTTTTCTACCGTCGGTGTGTGTAATTCGCACGGTCGGCGACAATAAATCAATGGGTGCGGCGTGATGGAGTACGTACTAGGTAGGAAAGCGAAGGCAGGATGACAAGAGGCCAGCCTCATCGATGGGGATATATCTTGATCTGTACGTGCGTGCACTATAGTGGCCAGCTCGATCCATCGCAGCGGCTTCATTGCTGTCAGCGTATATTCGCTAGCCGGGACCCCCCACCCCCTGCCCTCATCGAGTGGATGCATGCCGCCAGATCCAACGGACGGATTTTGATCATCCTACGGGCGTAGCATGATCGATCATGGACCAAACTTGAGGCCACCAGCCCCCCCTGCGGACTTTGTTTGGGGTACGGTAGGGGGTTTTCTCCGCACGAAGCAACTTGTTCCTGTAATGTAAGATTTGCTAGGAAGCGTTGAACCCTTTGCTCGAGCCGCATGTGTATTTATAAAATAGTTGCCGTGGCTTACAAGGTTTAGAATATCGCTAGAATTCTTCCAGAGAGAGATCGATACAACTTGGAGAAGAAGAACAGAAGAAGAGATAAAAACAGAAACGATTTAAACATCATCTATCCCTACGTACTCTATTCTAACATCCTCCCTCAATCCAAACCTATGAAAATTTCTCTAGGTTTAGATTGTACTTGAACTCATTCAGTCTCCTCGTGGTAAGTGGTTTAGTGAAGCCATCTGCAAGTTGATCTCCTGTTGGAATAAATTTGATATCAAGTAGCTTTCGTGCTACTCTTTCTCTCACAAAATGGAACACCGGATTTGTACGTGCATGGAACACCGGATTTGCAGAAAGATAGGTAGCACCAATATTGTCACACCATAACCTTGCAGCTTGTGGAGCCCTGATTCCCAACTCGTATAGAAGAGTCTGGATCCACATGATTTCAGCCGTTGCATTAGCAAGGGCTTTGTATTCTGCTTCAGTGCTTGATCTTGACACGGTAGCCTGTTTTCTTGCACTCCATGACACAAGGTTTGATCCCAGAAACGCAGCAAAACCACCTGTGGACCTTCTATCATCAGGGCATCCTGCCCAGTCAGCATCTGAGTATGCACTAACTAGCATGGACGGTGACTTAATAATCTTGATTCCAAGTCCCATTGTAAACTTTAGATACCTTAGAATTCTCTTTACTGCAGTCCAATGAACTATACTTGGTGCATGTAAAAACTGACATACTTTGTTGACAGAATATGAAATATCAGGTCTAGTCAATGTTAAGTATTGTAGAGCACCAACAACACTCCTATATTTTGTTGCATCATTTGGTCCAAGTAATTCACCTCCTTCAACTGTAAGCTTCTCAGAAGTGGAGAGTGGTGTACTTACTGGTTTGCAATGTTCCAGTCCTACCCTTCTTAGAATATTTGTGGTGTATTTTTCTTGTGTAAGAAGTATTCCATCCTTGATCTGTCTTACCTCTATACCAAGAAAGTAGTGAAGATTACCCAAATCCTTGAGTGCAAACTCCATATTGAGATCACGAAGAAGGGAGGTAGTAGCTTCTGAACTGGAACTAGCAACAATTATATCATCAACATAGACAAGAACAAACATAGAGATGTTGCCTTTATGATAAAAGAATAATGAGGTATCTGCCTTGCTTGGAATAAACCCAAGTTGTTGTAACTGGGTACTCAACCTGGAGTATCAGGCTCTTGGGGCCTGCTTTAAGCCATACAAAGCTTTGTCCAACTTGCAGACAAAATGAGGTGTGCTTTTGTTTTCATACCCAGGTGGTTGCCGCATGTACACTTCTTCCTCAAGAACACCATGAAGAAACGCGTTCTGAACGTCTAGCTGACGCAAACTCCACCCTTTGGAAATAGCAATAGACAGAACAAGTCGAATAGTAGCTGCCTTAACAACAGGGCTAGAGGTATCCTCATAATCAATTCCAAACCTTTGCTTAAACCCTTTTGCAACCAATCTGGCTTTGTATCTATCTATACTTCCATCAGACTTTCTTTTAATCTTATAAACCCACTTGCAATCAATCAAGTTCTTTCCCTTTTTTGGTGATACAAGATGCCACATTTTATTTTTTTTCATGAGTGCTTGATATTCATTGTCCATAGCCCCTTTCCATTCTTTGTGAGCAAGAGCTTCGGCTAGATGAATAGGTTCACCCGAACTAGTGAGAAAAGCAAACTTGCAAGGATCGTACCTTACTGTACCATCCTTGTATACCTTGGGTTTGGATAATCCAGATTTTGATCTGGTGTGGCGCTGAGGTATCTCGGATGACACATGTGTAGAGGCTGCTGCAGTTTCTTCATTGCCAAAACAAGCCGCAGAAGATCCAGCCAAATCGTCCTAGACTGCCGCGCCACAGGGCTCCAGATCCGAGGTAGTCACCGGATCCAACGCGATTCTCCTCGCGCCAGACGCCCTAGCAACAGCAGGGCTCCGCATGGCGATGTTGATGGGCCCCTCTCCGGTCGGGCTGTCGGCCACGAAACGCACCGGTTCCCGTGCGACGCGCGCGGATGGGCTGCACCCCGCGCTGCCTGGGTCCACGCCCAGATCTTGGTCGGCCACTGGATCGGCAGGTGGGCTGGCCCCGCCATGTGGCACTACTGGAGACGCGGGAGACACCGCTGTGCGCCTGACGACTGGATCAGCCTCGGATCGCACACGGCTATCAACCTGGGATCGCGCACCTTCCCTGGCGCTGCAGTTCTGCACAGGATCAGCATCGGATCCAGTGCTATTTTCGTCCTCTTCTGCACACATAAAATCATAGCCAAAACTGCATTTTTTTCATTAGTATCTGAATTTTCTTTTGGACTAGTCACATGATCATGTTCTATTAGTTCTCCCCCGTGATCAGGACGTGACAAAGAATCCGAGGGAAGAGAAATTTCTGCTCGAAGAAGGGCTCCGGCATTTGGATGAAGTTTGGCGAAGGGAAAGATAGTTTCATCAAAGATCACATCCCTAGAGATGTAGATGCGTCTAGTTGAGATTTCTAGGCACTTGTAACCCTTATGAAGATTGTTGTAGCCAAGGAAAACGCATTGAGTGGAGCGAAACTCAATTTTGTGGTGATTATATTGGCGAAGATTAGGATAACATGCACATCCAAAAACTTTGAGAGAATTATAATCTGGCTTTTGATGAAACAATCATTCTAAAGGAGTTGTGTTCCCAATAACCTTACTGGGCAGCCGATTGATAAGATAAGCGGTAGCAATAAATGCTTCATCCCAATACTTTAGAGGCATAGATGCATGAGCAAGAAGGGAAAGGCCTACTTCAACGATATGACGGTGTTTGCGTTCGGCAGAACCGTTCTGTTGATGTGCATGTGAACACGAAACATGATGCTCAATGCCTATGCTTCGAAAGAAAGAGTTGAGCTTCTCATACTCTCCTCCCCAATCACTCTGGACTGCAATGATTTTCTTGTCAAATTGACGCTCAACAAGTTTTTGGAATTCTTGGAAGAGAGAAAAGACTTCGGATTTGAACTTAAGCAAGTATATCCATGT